GGACATCGCGCAATCACTTTGGCTACCTCAGCTTTCGACAATCCCACGTCTCGAAGCCACCGGAGCGTGGGCTTCAAGTTCTCTTCGATGCTGCAGCCCAGAACTTGCGGACATCGCGCAATCACTTTGGTCACCTCAGCTTTCGACAGTCCCACGTCTCGAAGCCACCGGACCGTGGGCTTCAAGTTCTCTTCGATGCTGTAGCCCAGAGCTTGTGGACATCGGGCAATCACTTTGGCCACCTCAGCTTTCGACAATCCCACATCTCGAAGCCACCGTGCCGTGGGCTTCAAGGTCTCTTCGATGCTGTAGCCCAGAACTGCTGGAAATCGAGCCATTGCTTTGGCAACCTGAGCCTTTTCGAGCCCCAAGTCTTCCAGGAACTGCATCGCAAGCTGGAGTTGTTGCTCAATGAGTCTGTGTGATAGAGCTGGGCATTGTACCAATTTTACCACGAGGTCTTCGGCTTCCGAATGCGACAAACTCAGCTGTGACTGCAGAGACTCATTCAAAGGCGCTGGGTCGAACTCAAGCTCACGCTCCGCTACTACTCTCTCCGTCAACTGAATTGCTGCGTGCATACCACTCCTGCCAGGAGTCCCCACGAAGGTCTGCAGCGCTGCTCTTCGATCAGGCTGCAGTGCACTTCCCTGTTGTTTCAACAAGGACATAGCGACTTGACGGAGTGCCTTGATCAATGATGCTTCGTGGCCTAGTTGCCAGAAGTCAACAACAACCTCTCCCATCTCACACGAAAGCTCCAATCCCCGATGAGCATGGGCTATGCGTAAAACGTGCGATCCGTTTGGTGCAAAGTCCAGGAGTGCCTTATTCTTGCGGATGTCCGCTGCAATCCCCTTTGGCGACAGGTGGCGGTAGTAGCCGTCGTACTCCAAAAAAAGAGCTGCTTCCTCGGTCTGCAAGGCGCCATAGACCGTCAGATCCGGGCTCAAAATGCTCCGACTCCATCCTTCGCTCTGCTCCACTCGAAAGTCTCGGAAGAGCTCTTCGATCGGCTCCTCTGGCTGCAAAAGCACTGCCAGATGCGAAAGAAGCTCGGCTTCGGCGACGCTTCCCATCCTTTGCCGGGCACGCCCGGCCTTCCACCATGAGGGCGGCTGGCATACGACACACAAACCCCAGGAGAGGAACGCCAGGACACCCCAGACAACGTATCCGAAGAATACCCATGGCTTCCTTTTCGTCGGAGGCCTCATACTGCCTTCCTCTGCCACGAGCTGCAGTAAGAACCAAAGGGGTCGAAGGGCCGTGATTACTGTAAGACGCTCTGACCACAAGCTCCGTCAGCCCCCACCCCTTTGGAAAAGATCGGCTCATTCTCTGGCTGCTCTAAACTCAAACCTCGCAATCCTACAACGCCAATGAGCGCGGCCGTCCCACCGACAGCTGGGACCCCGAGCAGCCGCCGAAGATCTCGGACCTGAGAGTTGGAGCCCACAAGAAGAGGTTTCGGATTCTGGTCCCACTTGCACTGGGAGCTCTAAGTTTAAGGCCAGACTTGTAGGTTGGAGCGGTTCGACTCTCACAGTCGGCACAAGAAGGAGGGGATTCACGACAACTGGTGTCCGTGTAAGAACCCCTCTGCAGCAAGACTACACGGCCGCAGTGGGCCCTGACAGACATTAACTAAACAGCAAGCCCCTTCATCCTCAGAGCCCACAAGCGAAGGCCTCTGCGTAGTCACCGGACTCTTGCTCCCTCTCTCTCTCTCACACACAAACACACAAAAGATACGCCTATCGAGCCAGGCCCTGCGCAACATTCAGGCAACTCTTGTACAGGGGTCGTACAGTACAGTATAGTACAGTATAGTACAGAATAGTATAGTATATTCATATATATATATATATATCCGCTACTCACCGTCGACAGCAAAGGCATAGTCGCTGTCGGTCTTAGACTTAGGGGGCGGCTCTGCAGTCGGGAAGCTCAAGGCACGGAGCAGCTTAAAGCCAAGAAACCTCCGCTTCTAGCTATTCCTTTTTTCGCAAGGGCCTCGGCTGCTGCCCTTACTGCCCAGCTTGACCCACAAGACAGTACTCATTATTCTAGCTATTCCTGAAAATGCCAAAAATACTACAAAGAATAACAATAACAATAATCATGACAACAATACGTATAATAAAGACAATAATGATAACAATAATGGACCCGCAGGGTTCTTGAGTTGCTGGCGCATCTCAAGGCCAGCCACTTTCGAACATGGCACCTCTGGCAAGGCGGGATCTGTGCTCAACCACAACCTCGAGATCCAACTACCCCTTGATTCAATATTTTTCCCGGCTTCATATTCAAAGTCCAATTGTGATCTAAGGATGTTCCACCAATTAGGTTGTTGTTCTCCTTGCGAACCCGAGGTCACTTGGCTGGCTCGGGAAGTGGCAACATGGACATATCAAAGCAGTCTAGGGCTGTGGATAGCAAACAAAGTCGCAGTACACAACCAAGGTCAACCTTCAATCGCTGTCGATGTTGGTTCATTTCGCACATCACTGAGGGACTGGCTGAATTTTCACCACAACCTGGCACAGGGGATTGTGGCTGCGTGCTCACGGTCTGGATCCGGGCCTAGTTTTAGGGTCTACATCTTGGGCCGTAGGTCATCGTTTAGGACAGCGCATGTTACATGTTCCGGGCATCCCGTGCCGGTGGCTTTGCAGCTTGAGTCATGCAAGATGTTGCTGGGTTTCACGGATCCGCCCAGTGCTCTTAGTCATGCTGGACAAGGCAAGACAACACAAGACCGATACTCAAATCTGGGGGAGCTTTAGAAGGGTTACGTAATGACCAAGAAGAAATTTGGAGGGTTCCGGCCTTTCTCATGTTCACGAAGCCGTGCTTGTCGTTCTTCTTTTGCGCATCTGCAGCACAGCAGGATAATGTCAATCAAAGGGCCTTTGGTCTGCAGCATTCTGCCTGCAGCCAAAGCAAACTAGTCCTCTTGCAGCTACGCTGCAACCTATCAAAAGCCCCTCAGCTTTTACACACCTTGTAGGCCTCAATCCAGAAAAAAACGTCATGATCCGCATGCTCATCAAGATACATCAAGCTGAAGCTTCCCGCAATTTCAAAGCATCGAAAGCAAGAAAGAACCCAACATAAAAAGCAAACCCACCAAACCATGAAGCTTTATAAACGATATCAAGAGTCACCCATGCTCACCTTTAACACAAGACCCGATACTTCAAACCTGCCCCAGCCACGAACAGCAACCTCATAACTTAGGACAGGTAGGAACCTGCCAGACTTGGAACCAAAAACTTCTTCCGAGGCACAAATTTTCCTTGCAGCCATCGATCTCGCGATGCACCTTGCACCCGTGTAGTGCCGGCCACGTCTCAACGGCGAATACTCACTCTTTGGACGGACTGAAAATACTAGAAACCACAGACTTCCAACATAGATGGAGGGCTTATGCTTTCGAGTCCAAGGTCTTCAAACTTCTTGAGAAGCATGGGTTGAGGATTTAGTGAGGCGGTATTGCGTTTTTGTTGAGGTTGAAGGGCCAGCTCTTGGCAAAGGCCTGGGTGAATTGGTTACATGCTCTGAAAGTACCATGCCAAGAATGCACAGTAGGCCTCCAGCCGTTGGGCGGAAATTGCGTAAGCGCGAGATGATGACTACAACACATAGCACCCATTGTATTTTGTCGAATGACAAGAAGGAAGTTACTGATCTTTCAGTAACACCGCTTATGTACCAGCCGAGATTCTGCAAGCCGAACGTGCAAGCAGTCCGCAGCTTTCTCATGTGGTTTGATGCTCAGGGAAGGAGACGGGGTGGGAGCTTGACGGGCCAAGTCGTCACATATCTTCTGGACAGCACCGCTTCTTCGTGAGCTATGTTTTAGTCTCAGCTTAGCTGCCTGGCAGTTTGGGACTGAGATAGGGAATCATGTTGGAAGAGATCTCAGCATCAGCCCACTATCAGCTTCACCGGCAACCCTTCGCAGTGAGACATGCTCAGCTGATTCCTGAGGCTGTGTCATCCAGAGTTTCGACTGCACACTGCATCCGAGCCCGAAGCTGAATGCGCACTGCGGCATAGACTCTGGCCATGCGCCGCGCCTGCAGAGGCCCGTGTTCAAACCGTGCGAAGAATGAGGCCCCAGAAGCGTCGAAGATGTGGAATCATGAAACTACAATCGTCTGAGCCCGGCTGCCCTCACAAATCCAAACCGCCCGTTGCTGCAAAAGCCTCTGACACCCTCTTTTCCAAAACATTCTACCCTCAGCCTGGACGGAATTGCCATCTGTTCTGTATGAGCAGGGCATGACACGGGTGGCAAGCAAACGCAGAAGTCGCTCCAAATCAAACACCCTATATGCAAAGAGTGGGGAAGCTGGGAATGTGTTCGACAACGAAAACACAAACATGTTGCTGGTCGTGCGTCCTGCAACGCATCAAGAAGCAGCTGCTCCACCTTTCTATTCCTATTCCGAAGCCTACTCCCATATAGTAGACGGACACGGCCCCATGACTGTTGATGTCTGAACAGGTAACTCTTCTAGGATTCTAGGAAGTTGGTTGATGGAGTGGCAGGAGAAACCAAATCTAACAACTTCAAACTCCGTCGTGCACTCTGCCAAGGGCCAGGCTCTTATCTCGTGTATCCGCGAGAGGAAGCGCCGGGCAGTGCGCTGGATCCTGCACAAAACGCTGCGATTCGTGAGGTGTCTGTTTCAATCTCGTTCTGCGGCCTTAGGGGCTGAGTACCCCAGCCCAAAAAAGGTTAACCTTCTGATTTATAGTAAGATTATATAAGCCCCAGAAGGTTAAAGGTTACCTACTTAGCCCCTTAGTGGCTGTCTCCGCTTTGAACCTGAGGCCTTCTGGACACTCGGGCGAGTGCACCGGGCTCACAAACTACGACACCTTGTTTCATATTGCTTCGGTCTGTCAGGACCCGACTAAGATCCTGTCAGGGAACCCGTGGTTACAATAACTCTTGAGCCTCACGCATTTGCACAAGCATTGACTGGACTGACCATTCCGACCCTCGGGTGGCTCGCTATGCTCAGAGCATACCGAGCAAGACCAATGCTTCGTGGATTCGTTAGGAACTCTGAGGGCCTGGGATGAAGTTTAACCTGCCTCAAGGGTGTAGGTTCGATCTAAAGTCCGAGGAAGCCGTTGCCGAAACCCCGAATTCCCAAAGCTCCTGGTGGCTTTCTGGTTCAAGAAACGCCGGTGGTCACGCATCGGCCTGACAGTGAGGCAAGTTCATGGTGGCGGAGGGCGGCCGAGGCTTCGAGGTTTGAGGCTTCGGCCGAAAGTGGGGAGTCGAGTTTCGGAGTTTTGGGCCCTACAGAAGGAAGCTCGCCACGAGACGAGTTGGGGTCCAGTATACCAAGCGACGTCAAGCACTGAACTCCCAAAATGCAAAGAAACAACGTCGCCGAAAGCCCGAAGACTGACCCCAATTACTTCACTCCCTGCTCAGGTAAACGCTGGATCTTCCGGATGATGCGTTCCACCCTGAACCAAGAACCTCCGCCACCAGAACTTCCCAAAATGTTTCAAAGCGGGGGCTGCCCAAGCTTCACGACACTCGACTTTTCGAGAGCTCCCATCACGGAGTCCTGCAGCCCTCTATCCTCGACTACTGGTTCTCTGTTCTCGAGTTCATGAACGATTCAACGAAAGATTGTTAGAGCTCTCGTTGACCTCCCGTCTGCGATTTAGAACGTAGCTCGGGTTTCTAGGGCTTACAAGGCTGTAAAGCTAGGGTTTGGGATGAATCCCAAGGTCCTACCCCCCTGAACACTGGCAAAGCGAACCTTCAAGACAGGTAGGTCCCGGGCTTGAAGCTCTTGATGGCCAGGAAGGTGCGCATCTGAGCCTTCGGGGTCAGATCTGTCGCAAATGGGGGGGGGCCCGCATACAGGACTGTCTGGTGCTTAGTAGGGAATGGGGGAATGGATCCCTATGATAGTCCCTTAAGGTCCCTTATAGTAGTCCCTATAACCCATTCCCCCGTTCCCTACTAAGCACCAGACAGAAGAATAGTCTATAATCTTTATCATCTATGACATGCCGTATGCTCCAAAACTAACAT